TCTTTTTATTAATGTCCCAGGTTCACACAAAAGAACAATGGATTTATTCATATTTTTTTCACAATGAAATTTGAAAAATAGTTCAGCTGGACGGCTGGAGTGGTGTTGCTAAATATGTGGAGTTGAAGCTTGTGCCCGAGAAGATCCTCAATAGCAGCATATTGGTAGATTTGTAGAGTTGAAGTTCGAGACAATTTTGTAGTTATTATTATTTATTTTTTTTCACAAGCGTTTGATGTTTAAACTCATTATACGGTTGTTTTGAAAGTTTTTTTTTTATAGTTTTATGTAGCAATTGTGATTTTACCAAAACACTAATAGGAATCTAGAAAAACAGATGGATATACTATGTACTAAAACAATAGGCTATGCACAATGTGGCAAACCTAATAATTAACCATTTATTTATGTTTGTTGTTAAAAAACCATTTTTATCATGTTTCTAAAATATTTTTCTACATAGAAATAAAATTAAATAATAACAAAAACAGAAATAATGAGAAGACAATCATTAAAAAATAAGTCGAATCAAGATAAAAATGAAAATGAAGCCCGAATTCGATCCCGACACTTATGATCCTATCCAAAAAAACTGTGAATATGAGCACTAAACCTGTTGTATGTGTTTTTTTAGTATTAACTATGAAGGTCTATTAGAATTCACCTAAAATTTTCATAATATTAATTTAATTATTTTATTCAATGTATAATCAATTAATTTTGGTGTTGTGCACTGAAATGATATTTTTAATATTTAATAATTGTTTATGATAAATTTATAAACAACATAAGTATATGTCATTAAAAAGTTGGACATAAGAATAAATTTATACTAATTGGTTGTACTTTGATCGATGATATACTTCATATATATTTATTATGAGTTATCAGATTTGATGTCCGCATATTTTAACCGAAAATACACTAATTTACTAGAATAAATTTTTTTTATAAAAACGTAAATAGTGTAAAAAACCATCATCTATGAAAACATTTATTTTCTTAGAGAGAAAACAATCCCATACTATTATCTATTAACCAATTTTCAACATATTATTTGCTCAAAATCAATATCACATTTAGATGAATCGCTAAATATTCATTTACACTAATTCAAAAAAATTATTTGGTCCAAAAAATAAACGGTCATTGAACATAGTAAAATCGAAACCTTGGACCCGATACCCTAAAAAAAACAATTTGTTACATCATATCCACTTTGAACATACAACATATGACCACCATACTAACACTTATGCTCTAAATCCACTTTAGGGTGTTGTGTTCATTTATATAGTTAATATGACTTAAAATAAATATTAACTATGCATTTGAGGATGTCATGTTCTTATTAATGAAAATACTTTTATATTCGACTATGTTTTGCGATGACAACCAATTAAGCTCATAGTCAAATAATTTCAAATATAGGTATATATCTATCCGGGTATTCTCGCATGGGCAATTTTACGTTGCATTGTCCAGAGGGACATCACATGGCAATATGAATGTATTAGTAAAGCCTAAAAAAGGTTCAATGATGATGAAGCCTATACCTCAAACAGTCAAATATAATGTATAAACAAGTGTTGCGATTAATATTGTACATATAACATTAGTAATTAAATATACATTGTTTTAAGTTTGTCTTTTATTTTTTTAGTTATTATAATCTGACGATTAAAATTTCACAAACTTGTTATGGAAAATCTTAATAAGTTTTAGACAAAATTACATAAATGGTCCCCATGGTTTCCAAAATTCTTGGTTTTTGTCCCAAACTTTTTTCGTCATATAGATGGTTCAGGTGGTTTTTGTCCTGAAAAGAAACTAATTACTGAAACAAAGTATTCGCCGCCCGCCGCTTTGCGCGGGTATACGACTAGTATATATATATATATATATATATATATATATATATATATATATATATATATATATATATATATGTGTGTGTGTGTGTGTGTGTGTGTGTGTGTGTGTGTGTGTGTGTGTGTGTGTGTGTGTGTGTGTTCCGACTGGTAGCGGTTTCAGAAAAATAAGAACAGGAATCGAAATTGCTTAAGGAGGTTCTAATTCTGGAACCAACGATTCCAAGGCGTTTCCAGTTCTGAAAACGGATACTCAGTTGCGCTACTTATATCCTTAAAAACCAGGAGCTTGAATTCAGATCGAGAGACCATAGCTTTTCGAAAGTTTGCATTAGCAGCTTGATCGACCATATCCTTGAAAGGTTGCTTCACCTACAAATCATTTTATCTCGTTACCTTCTTTGAACAAATCAAAGCCTGCACAAAGCTCTCTTCTCTCTGATCGTTATCAATAATATGATTGATCATATTTCATGAAAGTCCATCTGAGGATATTAATAAATTCTCATAAGTTTCTATAATTGTCAGATCTACTAAATGTCGTGGATTCAAACTTTGTTGGATTTTTGATAATTTTTCTTGATTTTGACTAAATCGTGAAGCTTTGATCATGGCAAACTAAGTGTTGAAACCAGATTAAATGTCATAGACTCCAACCAAAACCTTGTTATCTCGATTACATATTGTAGTGGGTAGAGCTTATGGAAAACATTAACAAATACTAGTGCGCCGGAGGTTTTTCGTTAGGCTAAGCGGAGTGGAGGTCGCCACTGGCCTCGCTACGCTCGCTAGCCACCTTGAAACACCCCCTAGCACTCGCTAAGGGTCGCTACCGGGCACTCGTCGATGTTTTAGCGAGAAGAAAGAGAAAGAACAACGCATTGTGATTGGTTGGAAGAAGACGAAGCGGAAATCGGTTTTGGTGTTATTTTGCTTTTGATCTGGGTTTACGCTTGTTGCTCTCCAATACCAACAAAATCGTAGAGGCTCGCCAGTTGATCGGTTCACTCTTCGTCGAAGCTCCTTCTCCAAAAAAAGAAAAACATCCCTTGATGCTCCCGCTCCAAAACTCACTCGACATACGAGATAATCAATTTCGAACCAGCGACTCAAGAAATTGGCATCTACGGATGTCAATTCTGAACAACGACTCAAGAATGTGTCAATTGAGAATGTCTCGATGTCAAGTATGAATTTGTCGACTAAGAATTGAGGTACACATTACTCATTACACAATCGATTTGTAATTATGTATAGTTTTATATGGTGCTCTTTCTGTTTTTCTTTCAAGATCAATATAGAAGACCTTGTGGAACATTGATAGGCACACACATGTTGTACAAATGCTAACCGATTTTCTGTTTTTTTTTTCTTGGGAGTTTGATTTCATATATTTTGTTGTTTTACCCTAAACTGTGTAGAACATAAAAATTGCAAGTACTCTTTATTTTTGTATGAACACTAAGTGTTGGATAAAATTCCTCAATGAAAAACTTCCTCCAGTTTTGGGCTCCTCTGCTTGTTTACACTTATAAAATCAAATGCATATCTGGTTTTTATTGAATTTGTAAACGAATATTATTTATGTGATTGTTAACACTTTCAATTCAATCTTTTCAGAGCATACTCTGTGATTTGCAATGAATGAACATATATTTTTATTTTTCTTTGCTTTGTATAGGAAAAATCCAAGAAGGTAATGTATGATTGCAAATGCAGGAACTTTATTTGCATATGGTGTAACAAGCAGTGGGAAGACACATACTATGCATGTAAGCACAATTTTTTTTTCCTGTGATATTAATGAAGTGTAATGATCTTGAGTGGTATTTACAAGCTCATATTCCATTTATGATGGCATTTAAGTAAGAATATAGTATGTGTAATCCATTTAATATGGATAATGGAGTAATAGTTGCTCTATATCTTAAAAAGGATATGATAGGAGCTTGTGGTATATACTATATAGCAATTATTAATTAGGGTTTTAAGCATTCATATCCTCCAAGGGAAATGACATAAATATCAACTATCAAGGGTAGTTTCCAAAGTGAACGAGGGCATTTTCGGATATCAACTAGCAAAGTTTCCCATGTTTTTCAAAATCCCAAATGTGGGAGATGATTTGACTTTAACAAAAGTCAAAAGAGGTTTTGAAATGTGTGACATTGTTCTTAGATATACAATTAAATTTGAATGTTCTTCCATGATTGGTATTTGGTTCCATTCCAATATATATATTATTCTGAAAAAAATTTGGAGCTACCGTATTTCTTTCAAATTTAAAAAAGAGTAATTTATTTGAATGTTGGTTGATTATTTATAAAGTAATTTAATTAAATTAGAAAAAAAAAATAAGAAAAAGAATGTTAGGAGTGTTACCACTCCTTATCAAATGCTAAGATTAGATGATAAATGGTAAAAAATGAGGTGTCACTCTAAAATCTGACCTGGCAAGTGTTAGGAGTATTGCCACTTCGTTTAACCTTAGAGAGAGAGAGAGAGGTTTGTTGGAGATCTTGCAACACCAGATGTTGGGGAAAGAAGCCAATGGATTTGGGAAGAAATATTATGGGTTTTTTTTTAATTAAGAAGTATGTAATTAGATAAGAAAAAAAAAAGTCAAACAAAATAGTTTTTTCAATTGTATTTAAATTTTCAGGACCAGTTTACAATTTACTTTTTTTTACAAAAAGAAAGAAAAAGCATATCTTAATTTGCCGTTTTTTATGCATATATTAGCTTTTTCATTTGATTAATTTTTTAACATGTCGTTTTTAAATTTAATTAATTACTTAAGATGTTCTCAATTCTCATTCAACTACAACTACTTGCAATGTTGGATACAAATCTTTAAAATAACTTTTTCTATTATATAATACAAAATTCAAACAAATAACATCATGCTTCCATGAATTCAGACTTCAACAAGTCCATATGTTCGATTGCTATTTTATTCCTTAGGCAACCGAAAACACAAAAAAAGTAAAGAAAAACAAACCCAGAAGAAAAAAAAAATGAAACAAAATCAGTGTTTTGGGGCTTGAAACCGAATGTATAATTTCAGTATCAGTATAATAAACCGAAACAAACCAAAATATGTCCATTTCATCACCCCTTAAAAACAAGTTAATACTTGTAGTCCTTGACATGAAGGCTCTCCGAAGCGCCCTCACTCAAGGCTCCACCACCCTGATATTTCCCAAGTGTCGCCTCAGAATTAGCCTTGCACCTAGCCAAAAACGCCTCCTGAGCCTTCTTAACATTCTCTTCTTTTCCACCCCAAGCCTTAAGTGTACTCTGTTGTAGGGCACGTCCAAACGAAAAAGTCAAACTCCATGGCTTCTTTGCATCATACTTATTCATAGCATTAAGGTTAATCGTAGCCTCCTCCTCACTCTGACCACCCGACAAAAACACCACGGCTGGGACCGCTGGCGGCATGGTTCGTTGCAGGGCTCGAACCGTGTACTCCGCCACCACCTCGGGTGAAACCTTTTTGGCGTCCGACCCGGGTGTGACCATGTTGGGTTTCAAAAGAGTACCTTCTAGAAGGACTTTATTGTCATTTAGGGCTTTGTAGCATGCCGCAAGGACGCGTTCTGTTATGTCCGCGCATTTGTTAATATCGTGGGGCCCGTCGACCAGGATTTCGGGCTCCACGATTGGGACAAGACCATTTTCTTGACAGATGATTGCATATCGGGCTAGCCCGTATGCATTCTCATTGATGGCGAGCTGTGATGGCTCATTCTGGCCAATTTTCAGCACAGCTCGCCATTTGGCGAAACGGGCGCCGGCTTTGTAATACTCGGCGCACCGTTGGCCTAGACCGTCGAGACCAGTGGTGGTGGTCTCGCCGTTGGTCCCGGCTAGCTCGACTGTGCCCTTGTCGACTTTGATTCCGGGTAGGACTTTGGCTTCCTTCATCACATCAACAAAGAGCTTTCCTGCAAAAGTTGATATAAAATTTATAATGCTACAAGATCATGATGATCCTCTACTAGTAATAGTAAGAACAAAAATAGAAATAACAATATGCCTGCAGCAGTCTTTTGGTAAAGAGTTTCCTCAAAGAGAATAATGCCACTGATGTATTGGAGAGCACCAGGAGTGCAGAAAAGAAGCTCACGAAGAGCTCTTCGGTTTGCCTCATTATTCTCAGTATTGATGCTGGCAAGACGTTTTCCTATTGTCCCGGTTGACTCATCAGCAGCTAGAATACCCTTTCCAGGTGTACCAATGTAGGTAGCATTGGCAATAAGTTCATCTAATAAGAAGAAGATTCATGGAATAGTAGTAAATTAGTTGATATCATGGACAAATCTTGATCATGTCTATTCCTCTTTTGTTTATAATATAGCATATATTTACAAGTTTTTTTTTTCTTGTTAACATATTGTACTTTCATTTTGTTTCTAATCGGGACAATGTAATTTTAGAATAATATACGTAATTATAGCCGGGAAATCTCTTTGTATTGGATAACATTATTATGATTGGGTATGTTTTTCAAAGTACAATGTTGTAATGGGAAGAAATGTAAAACATATGCTATATTAACAATTCAACAAAAAGTGTATTGCTAATTCTTTCATGTATAACAAGATCAAAAGTTAAGTTATAGCGAAATAATCTCTTGATTCCTAGAAGAAGACAAAGTTTGAAGTTATCAAAAAAACAAGATTACTGAAACCAGAACTCTTGCATTAATCCAAATAAAGAAACATTTGGCAGGTTCAATATCCAATTGTCCATGTATATAGAAAATAAAAATGAAAAACGGAAAATCTCCGATACAACAGTTGCTTAGAAAATCATTATATTAATAAAAGAAGGAATGGCCTACGGAAACCTAGCAATGACCAATAAATCAATTTGGTTTCAAATACAGATTATATTTTTTCACAAAACAGATCCATATGCAAAAAGAAGTTAACTTGGTAGAAGAATTATATATCAAACTTCTTCATGGTATCTGGATGTGAGTAATGCTAGTTCTTCAAATTGCAATATGGTTGTACAAAATGATTAGAGCATATATACATGAAAAGAAAATGAATTCATTCAAAGGCATTAATTAGTAAGTCCTGAAACCGATCCATGAAAACCATTTCAATACGTTAATTGCAACTTATTGCTAGATGTACCCAATATAATGTTATCAACGAAGTGTAAAGAGAATCTAATCACCGATGTCATTAAGCAATCATCCAAGATCTCTTCTGTATATTAAATTGCCACTTGATGAACATTACTCATCAATACATGTAATTTAGATATTACAATATCGATTAAAAGACAAGTAGAATAAAATACTTCCAAAAACAAACTATTTCATTGATTAAATCTGATCGCATGAAGAAAATACAGAAATAACGATCAGATGAAAAGCCAAAAAACAGAATACGTAAAAAAGGGTCTAAAAGAAAATGAACAGATTAACAAAAGAAAATGCATGAAATGGTGAAATGAGAGGAGTGAATTAGAGAGGGATGAAGATGATACCAGCATACTTTCCCTTGTAGCAAGACATGTTCGTGAGCGTTTGATGTTTACAGAATAGAGAATGGGAAGAATGGCGTTGATTGAATGATGTCGAAGGGCTTCTTTTTAAAGAGAAGAAAGAGCCATGGGAATTGCCGTTTTTAGTTGGCCTCCTGTCAAGAAACCGAATTCGAAGGCGGGTTTCTTTCCGTTTGACCATTTCCCTCCTCTACTTAATCTTCCGGTGTCTCCTTTTCACACCTTTATTTTTTTATTTATTTTCTTGGGAATTTTCTCAAAACAACCCAAGTACGAAGTATCTAATATATTTTCAAACATCATTTTTCTGCAAATATGTCGATCTTTCTTATTTGTTTTAAAAAATATCGTTAGTATAGTAAGTAATTATTGGAAAACCATACCCCATATCGTGTTTGTGTGTGTGTTATATTTATATTAAAGATAAATAACATGTATACAACACTCCTAATATGGTGGAGTTGATAAGTACATAAAATATACAATGACAACTCATCATAGCTATCTAATACCCCCCCCCCCCCCCCCTTTTCTCAAGCGATAGGTTGGTGGACCAAGACGTAGCATAGCACAAAATTGCTCAAATTGAGGACGCGGAAGACTTTTAGTGAAGATGTCAGCCACCTGAAGCTTGGTTGGCACAAAACTTGGTATAGAGCTTGCCAGAAGTAACAAGTTCACAAACAAAGTGATAATCAAGATCAATGTGTTTAGCACGCTTGTTGGAGACCGGATTTTGAGTCATAAAGAGAGCACTTTTGTTGTCACAAATGTATTCGCCATTGCTCTATACTCAGACTCACAACTGGAGCTAGAGACAGTTGGTTACTTCTTAGCACTCCAAGTCACTAAGTTGCCTCCAAGAAAAATGGAGTAGCCATAAGTAGGTCGCCTAGTCTCAATGCAACGAGCCCAATCTGCATCGGAATAGCCCAGAAGACAGTTTGTATGTGGTCGGAGAAAGGTGAGACCAAAAGAAATTGTGCCTTTGACACAGTGAAGAATACGTTTCACAATCTGAAAGTGAGCATTTGTTGGTGTTTGAAGAAATTGACCTACTTAATTTACAACATAAGAGAGATCTGGTCATGTGATGGTTAAGTACCGAAGAGCTCCAACTAAGGATCGATAAATAGTGACATCTCGAACTGGAGTACCATCAGACGTGAAAGTGTCATGAGTCGCTAGTGGAGTAGGCACTAG